TATATATATATATATATATATATATATATATATATATATATATATATATATATATATATATATATATATATATATATATATATATTTGTATAAAACACCAGTGCAATTGATATTTGCAATAACTTGCTATTGTTTGTACAGCAAACACGGTGCGAAAGAAAACTGATCCAAACTGGAAATAGAAACTGGTGGGAGATCATTTCAAAATAGTACTTTCCATGTATTATTTTCATAATATATATATATATATACAAACTAGTTTTAACATTTTGGAAGAATTCAACGAAAACATACAAAATATAAACGTCTCTACATTCACTGCACTGGTGTGTTCACAACTAAATACATCTGTAAAGAATATAAAATAAAACAACAATGTATTCTGAATAGTACATCAACGGGCAAAAAAAAAATGTGAAGCTTGTACTCGTAAAAAAAAAAAATCAAATTAAAAGAAAAGTTTAAGTAACAGTCAACAGGTAAAAGTTTTGTTGTTGATTATTGCATATATGTTTCAGCACTTACTATACATAATAAGTAATAATTAAAAATCACTAAAAATAGCATTTAATTTTAAATAGATGAAAAAATGAATAAGATGCTAATAAAATTCATCCATATTGACTACACATATGCTAAACAATAATAAAGTTAATGCGCCAATCATGTGTACGTAGTTGATATCTTTTAATTTAAATTTTGGTATACTGATGTTCTATCTTCTTACCATGTAACTGCACATCAAGGTGGCAAGTTTTGGAAAAGCCTGTCATTTTTTTTTCTCTCTCTTTTATTTTTTTTTAAAACTCGCTTCTGTAAACTTTATCAATTTGTAAATTAGAATGTTCTCCAATGAAAACATTATTATTTAATACGATACAAAAGACAAAAAAATACTGAATACTAAGGATGAAATTTGTCTGAAAACTGTGAATAGAGTCTTTTCAACGAGAAAAAAAAAAATACAAAAATGACTGATATTTATTGAAGATGAGATCAATATAAAAACTGTGCCAGCCAGCCAGTGATACTGATTGTAATGACGTATTTGTGTACACAATGTACACACTGGGAAGAAGAGATTTTCAGCTATTTGCAGATCCAATTCAAAGTTCTTTAGTTATTACAAAATATTTAGTTATTGGAAAATGACCATTTGCTGGATACCTCTAAACTTCCACCCTCCCAAAGGACACTTTTAGATTCATTATTCTCTGTCTTTCTTTTTTCGTCTTGTACATGCTAAAATAATTATAAAGACTATGATAAGTACTGCCAGTGCCACAATGATTCCAATCCACCATGGATCCAGTAAAAGTCCATCCGATCCCAGGCCACCCCCATCACCTCCACCAGTATTAATGGTACCACCTGGCCCTGTAATAAAGTGGTGAAATATTGTCAATTTCTAATGCAGTGTCTTGATTTCATCAGTGGCAACTAAAGATGTTCTAGCAATTAATTGAATGCGCATAGTGGGACACTATTATAATAATGTAATATAGACAGTCTTATTGAAAATATGATTTGTACACAATTCAGATAATAGATGTAATATATAACCCACACATCAACACATGTATTTATACAATGTAATTCGTAATAATCTTGGCTCTTCATTGAAGTAGCTACTCAGCTGCATCTACTAAAATTACACCAGTCACACATTAAAATTACCTAGAAGTCATGTACTATAAAAATTCTAGTTTAGGCGTCAATTTTAAAACATTTCAATTTTTCCTGGTGTCTAAATTATGTTTTTCATAGTCACTGATGCTTATTTATGAATACAATGTTTATCCTAACTAGCATAAACGATTAACTTCCTTTTGACAATGAGCTGTTATCACAGTGAAAAGTGTTGAATACTTCTTCAATGCTCAATTCATCTTTCAAAAAATTCCGTTGTTTTTTTTCCTTTATATATTATGTCGTTTTTTTCACTGAAATTAAGGCCAAAAGTTTGTAGTTCAACACTGATAAATCACTGGACTGATTAATTGCTACTAAATAAGCAATGTGTTTGTGTTTTAATTTGAAACGTGTTCAATACATTTCATTAACAACCAAATTAAAATCTATATCTAAAAAGGTATTTGATATAATTTGAAGTGCAAATATGTGGGATTGATGTTATAATAAAATGGCCGTCAGTCAGCCATATTGATCAACTTCATCTTTGTGTTCAGTGTGAATGAGATCCGTCAAAGCATGTCAGGGACATGACACTGGAAGAACACACCGACCGCCAAATTAATATTCTTAAATATTCTGACTTAAAAAACGGGACTAAAAATAAGGTAGACAGATTAAAATGTTTTCAGGGCAGAGCTTCAATTTACACTTGTACAGTACTTACCTACTTCGCAGTGGTTGCCAGAGTAATCTGACAAACATATACACATAAACCTATTGATATTATCCACACATGATCCACCGTTAAGACAGGGGTTACTATCGCACTCATTGACATCTATAAAACAAATGAAATGTACATGGTAAATACTGCAGTAGACAATCGACCAGTGTGTTTCTATTATTAGCTTAATTGAGGACATGCGTCAAAATAAACTTAAAGCAAGGGAGTCGTCAGAATTAGTTATATTTACATTGTGAGAACTGGACTTGAGCTACAGTTTTGAAATATCATTCACCAAATCGGTAATGAAATGAACATAAAACTTTAACGGCACATATACTTTCAATTGACGTTTGAGACTACAATCAACCGCACAGAGCACGTTCAGTCTTATTCAGGAAAACAGCATAGCACCACTACTTTGCAGTGTATGATGGGTACTAGCAGCAAGATAATTATTCATAATATAATGCACTGTTCAGCTAGGTATACTATATATTTATAGAATGAGCATAAGGTTAAATATTCCTGTTTAATTTTGAGTGGTATATTTAGACAAAGGATATATAAGGATTTATAGCTATAATACTAAAACTCAAAATAATTGTTGTTTTTTTACTCTATTGCAAATTTCTATTACAAATAGTCGTTTTGACCAATCACAATTGTGTATTCAAACATGTGATAAAACATTGACCAATCACAATGGTGCATTCAAACATGTGATAGGACAGACTTACTTGTTTCACAGTATAGACCGCTGTAGCCAGGTAAACAGGTACAATAGTATCCAGGTTTTTGATTAATGCAAGTTGCACCATTACGGCATGGTGTTTGCAATAGACATTCGTCTACATCTAAAGTTGAAGAGAATTCAATAAAATTAAGTTAATTTCTATTTAACACTGCAGTGCAGGCATGTATCACTCACAGTTCATGGTACATTATGTTCTAATAATAGCATATATAAATAGTAGAGTCATATTTGTAATTATATCTCCTAGAAAATATACACATGAGATACTCAAATTTTAATGACCAATTAATTAATGTTCAAGAAAACAAACAAACATTTTGAGTTACTGAAACCACAAGAATTGTTGACAACAATGACCACGATCACAGCACAGACAAAAAGTGATTCACATTCATGACAAAACAACAATATTAGAGGATCGGAGTACAAGGACAAATGTAGCTACATGATTATGTTGCAAATCACTATTTTACAGTCCATCCATAGACTACTCTTAATATCACTCTAAACATTTTTTTTTCAGATGGGGGCTTGTCATTCAAAAATTCAGCAGATGAGAATGATTGCAAAGGAATTTAAAATCAAAAATTAGAATTCATTTTGAACAAGTCCAAATCAACGATTAATCTGTTTGTTTGAATGAAAAGATGAAATGTTAATTGATTGAAATAATGAAATGTTGAAATGAATTTTTTTTTCTCATAAAAAGAGGTGGCATACAGAATACATTTGAGGTACATGACTACAGAACAACCGTCATGCATTTGGCGATACCTGAAACTGAGTTATGACTAATTCACACTTTACAGATAATAAGATTGTGCTCTTATGTAATAACACTCACCTTCAGTGCAGTATTTACCAGTCCATTCAGGGGGACACTGACAGTCATTGCCATCTAGAATTCCACCATTTTGACAACTAACACTCACTGTGAGTGAAAAAGAATGTATAAACCATATTATTAATCATTGTCACATGTACTCACAATCCAATATATATATATATGGAAATCATATCAAGTAGACTGAAATCTATGAAAGCATCTTATAAAAATAGTTGTGGATATGATTGAGTATTCAAAATTAGACCCATTTATGTAAAACAATATTTTTTGTTTGGATCAAAAAATTAATTGACTTGCAAATTAAAATAGCTTGTTGACATTATGTATTGTTTTGTATCAAATCTGCCTCCAGCCAACCCTGGTCATTTCACAACTTACCAGTTTCACAAAAGGTTCCAGAGAAGCCCAAATCACACAGACATAAGAAACTGTTGACACCATCCACACATGTTGCACCATTCTGACAGGGAGTTCCAATACAGTCGTCTATATCTGCAAAAAAATTATTAAAAATAAACGAAATCAGCAAGTGGACAAGAAACTGCTATAAAACTAAAAGTAAAAATACTGTAGACTTTCCAACTAAACAAGCAGCCTGTCTGCTGAGATAGCTCCGCTGTTAGCAATGCACATTTCGATTAAAGGACTGAAGATATCATTAGAAAATGAACAATATGTATAGTATCAAAGCAATCGGACTTGTTGTTTTCAACAAGAATTCAAAAATATCACATTTTACCAAAAATTACAAAAATATTCATCAAAATTAGAGAATTGAAGATATCATCATGAAAGAAACAAATCTAAGAGAGGTCTACCCAAGGTACATATACACCAAGTATCAAAGCAATCAGGCTTTTAATTTTCAAAAAGAAGTTGAAAAAGTAAAAAGTTGACACTGACGACGAGTGCAGACGGACAATCACTCATATGATAAGCTCCGCTAGACGAAGTCGACAGCAGAGCTAAAAATATACATCAGTTTAAACTCCCCAGGGCAACTAGCAGCTTTTATAATCTACTTATTTTGAAATTAAATATCTCTGTATGTCAAAGTTTAAAAGTTAGAGTTCATCAACTGCATCAATACACTTACTTGTTAGACAGGTTGGTCCACCATAGCCAGGTAAACAATTACAGATGTATCCTGGTTGTTTGTTTTGACATGTGCCGCCATTATTACATGGAGATATTTGGACTACACATTCATCTACATCTAAAGTAATAAGAAAATAAAGGGTTATTTTAGCTGTCTGCAACTTTATTTACATTTCATTTATAAAACACTTATAAAGAAGTTTTCTGCTCTTTACTGTAATACTCTGAGTTTTGTCACTCTTAGATTCTCTCGAAGGGATTAAAATACCATAATCAAGATTTTTAAAGTAAAAAAACGACAAAAAAATTAGCATTTTGAATTTAACAGTACATGGGATCAAACATGCCCCCCTTCCATCCGCCCATAGACAATCCATCCAAGTTATGGGTGTATAATTAAACATGGCAGAACTGTTTTATACATTACACACAATACATTATAATATTATTTCCAAAGTGTTTATTCTGTTTGAATAAGTACATAATGTATTGCTCAAGTTCCCATTCGATAAAACAATTAATATACCGGGTAAGCATGATTGCAGAGTAAATTACATTTTACAACATAATTCCAGTGTTAATATTTAAACATTTTGTCTCATTTCTAATTTACGCTGGACACAGCATTTCATTCCATTCTCTAATGGATGTGATTTTTCGGGAACCCTGGGTAAGGTTGTCTTGACCTGGTTGATACTGGGATAATGCATTCAATTTTTCAAAATGGAATCCTCCTACATACATGGCATAGCACAACCGAGAGGATCTATTATATGAACAGAGAGATTGACATTTACCTTCACTGCAGTCATAACCAGTCCATTCAGATGTACAGGAGCATATATTTCCCATCAAGGTACCACCGTTTTGGCATGAGGAAATTTCTTGCAATAAAAAAAAAAGCAGACACCTTATCATTGAGCTATTTTGTTCATCTAAAACCCCACTGTACTGAATATACCCTCTATGTCTCTCTGCAAATGCAGGAACCCCCTCTGCCTTCCTGCTAAAAGAAATAACAATTGAAGCAGCATACCTTCAGAACAGCGATCACCACCATATCCTGGTTCACACTGACATGAGAAACTATTGGTCATATCCACACATGTTCCACCATTCAGACATGGCTGACTTAAGCACTCATTAGCATCTGAAAAAAAAAATTAAAGTATGAATTTAAAACCCCTCAAAATAAGTCTGTCTAATCACATGTTTAAATACACAATTATGATTGGTCAATGTTGTATCACATGTTTAAATAAACCATTATAATTGGTCAATGTTGTATCACATGTTTGAATAAACCATTATGATTGGTCAATGTTGTATCACATGTTTGAATAAACCATTATGATTGGTTGAAATGACCATTTGTAATATAAATTTGTGATGGAACTAAAAACAAATTATTTTGAGTTTTAGTATATTATGATAGCTATCAACTACCATATCATTTGTTCAGATTTAGCGCAATATACAATCTCTAATCAACTCAATTTTGTTTATTCATAAGACTTAAACAAGCGAGCAAAAAAAGACAGTTTACTCACCTAATTCACAGTTTAATCCTTCAAATCCGGGAATACAATTACACATATAGGTGCCAGTGAGATCAACACACTGACCACCATTCATACATGGACCTATAGTCAGACATTCATTGACATCTATAAATGTGAAAAAAAGACACAAAAATGAGTGAGTACGGAAGGTGCATTTGGATTTGAACCTGTAGACAATTTGATGCAAAATAAACAAAGAAATCGTGTAAAAAGGCATAAAATGGATTCATTCACAGGTTAACCTGACACACAACATGAATGAATGTTGTGTAGTTGGTCAATAAATTAGGACATTTCAAGATTTCTTTCACAGTCTCAAAGTGTGGTGTAATTTTATACTTTGATAAAACACTAAAGTACTCCTATTCACAGCCACTGCTTAACCCTGCATTATAGTTCTTGTGGAAATATAAGGAAATTGACTCACTTTGTGAACAGTCGTCGCCTTGCCAACCATCCAAACAGTTGCAGTAGTAGGTACCACCAGCTTGGATACATGCTCCATTGTTATAACATGGTAAATTTTCGCAGTAATTCACAGCTGAGAAATGAAAAAAAAAAATTTATTAGTACACATATGATTATGCAGTTATGATAAACAGCTTTGTGAATTTGCATGTATTTTTCTATAATTTCATTGTTAATTTTGAACCAAACAGAACGAAGTATACATTGCCATCCTAGACATCTCCAAAAATGGGTTACAAACAAGTTCAAATATTATGATAGAACGATTTTATTATGAAAATGGCTGTCAGTCAGCCAAATTCTGATCACGAAACAAATTTAGATACATTTATATATTATTATGAAACAGTGTTTGTGTAACAACCCTGAACAAGAATTGCATTGCATGCCAGAGAAACAGGAACAGTTAACCATTTTGAATTGAATATCAAAATACAACAAGCCCTTTGTATGTATTGTCATCATTTCAAGTTGGACACCAACATGTTCGAGTTTAAGAATACATACCTATGTTAAGTCCATAATGGTGACTAGTTGGATATATTTGATTGAATAAAAAAAAACTTATGTATAGTCTTTCTACCAGACAGACACAACTTGGTTTTAATAGGTTTATTTTAAGAAAGATCTTGGATTTGTCATAACTACTTACCAGTGGTGCAGAACTGTCCAGTATAACCTGTTGCACAGGTACATCTTACTTGATTTTGACCCACATCAGTACATGTTCCACCATTTGCACATGTGTAATCATCACAAGTAATCGTGCCGCCAATTTCTGAGTAGAAAGTACCGTATAGAGGAATGTTATTTTTTAATGTCTTTGTAAAAATAATAATGCCCAGAGAAAATTACCCATCTTGACCAACTGCTGAAGCTATCACTGCTGGACAATGACCGAACAATGAAGCCATCATCAATGTTTAATGGTTAATGAACATCACCCATCTTGACCAAAAGATGACCCCCTCCCCCCCCCCCCCACCCATGATTATCATCTGATGATGTGCCCATCATCCAACTGATAATGTACCCACCTATTTCACACCTCGTTCCTGTCCAAGTAGGAAGACACCCACACAAGTAGGTGTCATCAACTAGCCCTGTACATACACCATCATTCAGACATGGATTGGGGAAACAGATATCTGTGTGAAGAACAGAGAGGAATTACAGATATGATGTGATTGGAACTGACAAATACATGCAACACAAGTCATGGGTGAATCTGATACACGGTAGTAAACTTAGCAGTTTCACGACTCATTCAATTCTATTTGCAACTCTCTTGCTAGAATAAATGTGTTTACAATTTCAAGAATAACAAGCATGGTTTTAAAGCATTTTAAACATTAAATTTAAATACTCCTGTTCCAAAAAGAAATGATAAGACTTTGTTAATTATATTAATTAATTAATTAATTTATTTATTAAAAATTTACATTTTAACTGACTGACTGAATAAGTACACACAATATAAAGAGTTTGAAGTAGAATATGTTAATTACATACCTTGCTGTTCACAGGTGAGTCCAGCCCATCCAAGTTGACATGTACATACAAAGCTCTCTACACGTTCCTCACAAACACCACCATTCTGACATGGATTACTCACACAAGGCCGTGTGACTGTGTTATGAGACATTAAAAAAAACAATAATGTTGAATGAGTTATAAGAGTAACACTTAATTTGTCAATGAACCTGGACTCAATGTTATGATGGGAAATTGATATCAGCAAAGTAAAGGTGAAAAGTTTGTATACGTTGGAGAATGTAGTTATGAATAAATGGTAAATGGTACTAAAATGTAGCAAGAACAGATACAGTAAGAAGTATGGATGGTATTTTGACAAATATTAAGTAGCAACAATGGAAGCTGAGTTTTTAAGCACATAGTAAATATGAATATACCTTGGTCAATGCATCATAAAATTTAATTAGTTTACTACATAGTTATGTGTGGTAATTACATAGTAAACCAGTTCTTACCAGGTAGAGAATTATCCATAACTGTCACAGATATGCCTCTCTCAGTCTTTTCATGATCACTAGTGAACCGGATCCATATGACATTACCCGTGGAGATGTAATTATCAGGCCACTCATCGCCAGACTGGTGTATGATACGACTCTCCAGATTATCAGGATTGTTGCCATTGCCAGATTCAAACCAATCATAGTGAAGTTCAGTGACGTAATCATTAACCACAACTCGAATACGCCTTCCAGGTGAAATGGAAAGAATCCACAGGCAGTACTCATAATCTTTGTAGTTTGCCGGGTAGTTAGGTGTCTGGATTTCAATTGATCCGCCATCTGGTATAGTGTAATTGACAACACAACCCATTGCTGTTGGTGAAACATTGATAATAAGCATCAGACATTCACAATGTATCATTTCTCAAAAATACAAAACAATTAATAGAAAAAACAAACAAATGCTTCAACATAATTTCCACACACACTGTCAAATAAATAATTTAGTTCAATATACATACATGTAAACAAAATTTGAATTGTGCAATGTACTTACGGATCTCGCAGTGAAAACCTCTCCAGCCAAAAGTACATTCACATACATAACCATTGACAAAATCAATACAGGTACCACCATTCAAACATGGATTGCTTGCACATTCATCGATAGCTGAGAGGACATATATAAAAATAAAGACAGTGTCAGGAGAAAAAACTAGATTGGATTTGGATCAACCTGTCTTAGTATGTACCTCCAGATATCAACATAGGGTGGGAAAACTCACATGTACTTGTACAACAAGATGCATTTAACATATATAAATACCCGGTATATAAGACATTCTAGCATATGCAGTATCAATTTAATGTTAATATTGATGTTAATTTTCTATTGAATGCAACACATAAAAGGTGATGTCAAAATCTTACCGATTTCACACCTGCTTCCAGTCCAACCAGCCGGGCAAATACAAGTGTAGTACGAGATATGATTCTCGCAGGTGCCGCCATTCATGCAAGGTGAACTCCTGCATGGGTTAATAGCTGTAAGGAACCATACCAAACAAGAATTGTAATGATGCGATGCAACCAACAACCAGGTATACCATAACTCAAGTTTTTTTGAGATGTATGAATAAAGTTGTATTGAATTTCAGGCAGATGAAAACGTGAGAATTCAGCGATTGGGTTGTTGATATTTAGAGAAAAGGAGGGAGATCATTTCCAGAGATCCAATATGTGCTTTTAGCTGAGCTAATATACATCTATACATATTGATTTGTTGACAGACCAATTTTATTCAAAACAGACTGTATATAATGTAATACATTTGGTACTTACGGATCTCACAGTTCAAGCCTTCAAACTCAGGCAAGCAAGTACAGGTATAGTAAGTACAGTAATTGTTACATGTACCGTCATTCTGACATGGGCTATTAGCGCAAGCATTTACAGCTAAAAATAAAACATGGAATGGAAGATTGTTAAGACTTGTATGATACATATTTAGGAAAATGAAACTACTTAACATCCATGGAAGATTCAGATTGGATTAAAATTTGGAATTTGAATTTTTACACCTCAATCGATTCTACAATCCACTTGCTCTAACTTCGAACCGTAAAAAAACAACAACAAAAAAACATGAAGATTGAATGACAATTAAACTCACAATTTTGACAACGAAGTCCTCTCCAGCAGTCCGAACACTGACACTCGTAGTACGTCTGGTAGTTTATACAGACACCAGCATTCAGACAGGGTGATGATTCACAAGCATCCAATCCTGTACAGATAGACAGTAGTAAATGTAATACCATGTATGTTTTTAGCACAAAAATATATTGAACACACCACCAATACTCCACAGATGCGTTTATAGTGTTTACATCCTCTTTTGGATCAAAGTTGTCTTTCCTCAACCAGATTTATAAAAAAATACATTTGTACATTTTAAAGAATGGCCAACATTCAGAAAGTGAAGATAAAACTGACAGCATACTTACTAATTTCACAATTTGTGCCTCTGTAGCCAGGCGGACACTGACATGTATAATATCTGCAGAAGTCATCACAAGTACCACCATTTAGGCATGGGTTGTTAGTGCATGCACTTACAGCTAGGAATAGAAAAAAAACACACTAATTGTTTAAAAGAGGTAGATAACACATACCCATAATGAATAAGACTTGAACAGTATAATTTTACAATAACTGTACTTGTTTGTAATCTTAACTTAAAATGATATTGGTTTTGTGTTTACATGACACAAAACTCACAGACAAGAGGCTGTAAAACAGAAAGTGTCATCACTTTTAACAGCATAACTATTCAAACCAATATAATGCAATGTCTTGGTGTTCACAAACTAACTTACAGATTTCACAGTTCTGTCCAGTGTGGCAGTCATCACAGGTACAGGTGTAAGTATATGATGTTGGACAGCCATTCTGGCATATACCGTCGTTCTGACATGGGTTGGTGGAACATGGATTGGCCACTGAAATAAAAAAAATAAAACAAGAAATTAAAAAAAAATTACATCCTATGACAATTAGGACACGTACATTTTAGATTTCTTTTCAAATTGCATTTGATAATGAATTGACAAAGTTTTGTTAACACATTAATACTTACAGACATTACAATTGCCACCAGTCCAACAACTACTACAGGAACAGGTGTAAAGGGAACAAGAGTTTTGGTCCTGTAGACATGCACCGCCATTCTGACAGGGGTTAGCATTACACACACTGGTGGCTGAAAATAGAAACACACAACATTCAACCAATGGTTATTGCTAAAATTACTCATTTTTTAATGTGTCTAAATTCTATGCTAACTTCTGATTAATATAGTATTTTGTTAACGCCTTTTTATCTAGGCAAGGATTAAATATAAAAGAGTACTGCTAATTCAAAATTTTGTGACCTGACCTGTAAATCTATTTACATATTCATATTTATATACTTTTCTATTATTAGATTAGAATATGAAATACCTTGAATATGAAGTGACTAATTCATTGTACAAAGAAATATTTACATTCTAAACATTTCTAAGAATACATTATTCATTTAAGGCAATTCGCACTGAATTTTGCATTAGTGAGTATGTTATTACGGGAGAGAAATTCTCAATGTATATAACAGACAACAGTGGATACTCACTAAATTTTAATGTATATAAAAAAAAAAGTTTTAAATGCTTCAAATGCCACCTAGGAAAATTTCATGATAGAAGGAAACAATTTTACAAAAGAAAGCAAAATAAAAATTTGGGAAAATGTTCTATGACATTTCAGACACTTGATCCTTAAAAAATTGTCCAATCATTTTCAGTATCTTATGACTTTAACCTGTACAGATAAAAGCATAAAGAAAATGACATATCTTAAATTTAGATCAACTCCTTAGGTCAAGGCTCTTCAACCATTTTTAGAGACACAACTTAACTGATGCAGTTGAGATTGGAGGAAAATACAAAATATCTACCATTCTTGTAATTATCTAAAGAGAGTGTGTTTGCAAACACAAGTACTTACATATATCACAATTGGAGCCAGTCCAGCAGCCTGCACAGGAACATGTGTAGTAGTTGCAGTAGTTTTGACAAACACCATTATTCTGACATGGATTACTAATACATACATCAACAGCTGATGATAAATAAATAAAAATATTATAATATTGATATCAGATAATAATAGTGCATATTTCACAGTTTCACGATGACAGTTTTTATAGTTTTACTGCCGAATTTTTTGTAATCACATTGTACCTGAAGTTTGTCCCAAGTTTTCCGGGTTTGAATACTGTTTGATAATTATGACAGATTGTGATGTGTGATGTGATTGCTCAGGTGTGTATTGGTTGAAAATTTAAAAAAAAAAAAAAAAAAAAATAGCAAATTGGAATCAATATCAGGAATGAGCAGAATCACCACATAGTGTACATAAGGGGAAATAGAACACCATTTCATCTACAAAGATAGCATATATGTTTTTATTTTATCAATAATTTTACTTTTTTGGACTGTGGAAGTATATTTTTCGTTAAGTTGACGTCTGCAGACACTTATGGATACAACCAGAGTAGCATCCATCTTCACCAGTTTGATACAAATCGATACAAAACTCTGGTGATAATCACTGATGACTGTTTACATAAATCTGAGCGAAAATACCATGAGATTATATAAAAAGTAACCACTCTCTCATGAGTGCTGCATTGTCAGGATGACATCTTGTAAGTAAACTTGTAGTAAAAAAAATCAATAAAAAAATCAACTAACCAATTTCACAATTTGAACCAGACCAGCAGCTTGAACACTGGCATTGGTAGTTAGTACAGGAGCCTTGTATTGGGATGCAGTAGCCATTATTCTGACATGGGTTGTTGGCACACTGGTCAATCGCTGCAGGAATAAAAACAAACACATAGATATTCATTCAATTAAAAAGAAAAACAGTGTAAGAATGTAATACTGAGAATTCAAATTAACAAATTTCTGAACTTGATGGTAACTTGAGCAATAAATAACCAATACTATACATCTATATATTGAAAACTACTGAATCACTGTGACTCTCCAAATAACTTACGTGATTCACAATTGATTCCAGTGAAACATCCAACACAAGCACAGCTATACAGAGTACATGATCCTGAGATCTGACTGCAAAATCCACCATTGCGACAGGGTGAAACCTGGCAAGGATTCATTGCTAGAAAACAGAATAACATTTCTGGTGAGTGACTAATAAAAATGTTATGACAAAATACCAGCATGTCACTTATATACCGGTATTTGGTAACCATCAAGAACAAGAGTGTCATATTAAACTTGAGTATCATGCTTTGGATAATATTGTTTCATTCGGTAAAAAGGGTATCCTACTACACATGTATAAATACATAATTTGTTGACCCTTAACTTTGTAGATAAAATGAAAGTTACAATACGATGAGATTGTATGTTACTGGTTATGTTACCTGTTTCACAATTGGCACCAGTCCAGCAGCCAGTACACTGGCATTGATAGGAATTACATGAACCAGACTGGGGGAAACATGCACCACCATTCAGACATGGATCATTACTGCATGGATTGATGGCTAGAAAAAACAAAACATATACGTGTTCAGGAATAGAATTTTATGTAAAATGTTCACTGTGACTGCTTGTAATTTCCCCTAACTCAAGAAATTCAAGAAAATTTTGTATTAATTACTGTAAACTGACTAATTTTCACTGGGTTTAAATTTCGCTGATTTACCATTTCAGACATACTCAATGGGTTTTAAATTCACGATAATGTGTTCTATGCTTAATTTTACATATTCACTGAGATTTAATTTAGCGCATTTTCCAGTCAGCGAAATAAGCTAAATTAAAACCCAGTAGTTTACATTTTTACATAAAATTACTGGTGCAATGAATGTTTTATGAATGTTTCAATTACAGAATTCATCAACACTACATCACATAGCCAATATGATTTCACTTACTAGTCTGACACTGTAACCCAGTGTAGCATCCAGTACACTGACAGTAGTACTGTGAACAGATACCAGGTGTGGACTGGCAGAAACCATTATTCTGACAGGGGTTACTCGAGCACGGGTCAATATCTGAGGGGCAAACATTAAAATCAATGAGAGGTTAAAGTGAATGTGAGCAGCAAGCCACACATGTGCAAAATATTTATACTACACCATCTAAGGAAATAATTAGTATTCCTACGAACTGAGTTATAAATTCATCTTGTTCATCAGCACTCACTGATGAATAATACAAGCACCATAACTGCACACAACGACAAGTTTTAAATACAACAGGAATCTCATTGCCATAATTATAAACATACTTACATTGATCACAGGTGCTTCCTGCATAACATGCTGTACATTCACATCGGTATTGTGTACAGCTATTTCCTACTGAGATACAAGTACCACCGTTCCTACACGGGGCAGACGCACACACATTGATTGCTGTGAAAATAAATATGTGAAAATATGACGCATTAGCGATGTGACTGAGAATTCCAGCGACAGTGAGAACAGTGAAAACAACATACGTATAGACAGGTACACTGTGATGATGTTACAATTTGTTACTAGTATGGGCTGTATAAATCACAACAGCAACGTATTCTGCTCTTGTTTTATTATTCTTGATATATACCATACATGTGCATAATAACAAATGCAGTGAAAAATGCCATTCTCATTATTTTAAACTGAGGGAGTCGTCACCAGCGCATGCGATAGATGGCCATAGTGGGTAATTGTTTACAAACAAGCGTTTGCCTATGAGCCTTTGCATTTTTAGTGTGTGTTGTTATGATCACTTAGGACTTAATTCCTGTGTGTGCGCAGGTGACGACCCTCTGCTTTTAATGTCACTTAGTATGCACAATATAAAAAAGTGTGTACACCTATATAAAGTCATACTTACGAGTGTCACAATTCTGTCCACTGAAGCAGGTTGCACATTGACAGGAGTATGCTGTACATGAACCCTGAACTGGCAAACATATACCACCATTCTGACATGGATTAAAGTTGGTACATCCATCAGTAGCTGCAAAAGTGGGAGATGATAATACATGATTACAATCACTCGGTAAATAACATTAATTATACAGAACTGATTGAGTCACTTCAGAGAAATGGTAAACGTAGATTTTGTGAAACTAACAATTTAACTATATATGTATCTTGAGAGGAGTCATATGATCAACAGGCCTTTTTCGTTTGTTTTTTATAATTACAAAAATTACTGAAGTAATTTGATGAAAATTTATATCAACTTTTTTTTTGTTTCCAGAAAGGGGATTATTTCATAATGTCAGAGTCTTTTTATTCAAAAGTTATTTCTATGAAAATTTATTTAACTTTTATTTTCAGAAGGGGATTATTTCATATTATAAACAGATTATCTATCTTACTGCTGCAATTTCAGCAATAAGGAGAATCATACTTGAATTGAAATTAAAAAGGATGAGTAATCTTTGTACATCTTTGTACCTGTTGTGCATGTTGGTCCAGTCCAGCAGCCAAAACATTGGCATGTGAATGAAGCGCATGATCCACTTTGTAATTGTTGACAGAAACCACTATTTTGACATGGGTTAGTTGGGAAACATGGATTTATTACTGAAACAAGACAGAAAAAAAGTTGGCATTAATAAAAGAAATAACAAATTCAAAAATACATGTAAGAGTTCGAAAAATGTGAACACTTAAAAATGAATAAATATTTGAGTTAAAAAAACATGACTGTATTAATTTCAACAACTGCATATGAAAGCAAAGCTAATTTAACAAACCTTCCAAACAGTTCCGTCCGGTGTAACAGCCAGCACAAGAACAGGTGAATTCAGAACAGGAGCCAGGTACTGGATAACAAGTACCTCCATTGTAACACTGATTGTTATTGCATGGACTCAGCACTGTGGGCAAAAATTACAATAATAATAAGACATCATTAGATAAGGTGATGAGGAGATAAAACTTATCAAAATATCTTTTATCAGTGAAAAGTACAATGTGATTTACATAAATTGTCGTCTAATTTGTATAATATGTTAACTTAAATTAATCTAAATAGAGGACAAAAAACAGATAATGTAGACAAAATAAAATAACATGTATAAAAGGGATAAAATTGGAACTACTTGGAACTATGAATATGAAACCAGACTTGATGTATATTCAGACACTCAGTTACAAACTTAAAAATATCACATTTAATACCTAATATATTCATGATAGATAACAACATAAAGCTGGGAAAAATACTCAGTGATTAACAAAAAAAACTTACATGAAGCACAGTTCTGCCCTGTGTAACATCCAGAACAACTACATGTGTAGAACATACAGTTACTGGATGAACAGGTTCCACCATTCTGACAAGGATTCGAAGCACATGCATCTATCGCTGTAAAACAAAATAATACAATATGGTTAGCACTTTCATAAACTGATAAATGTAATCTAATGTACTTGAAGTCACAATTTCTTTTTTTTTTTTTATTTGTGTTTTAAATTTTGTTAAAAATGTTGAGCACCTCATTTGCAAATTTATATAGGTTTTCTTTGCTTATTTCTGACCAAAGGAGAATAATATGCAACAGGTTGCATGTTTTGATTAAGTTTAAAAAAAAAAAAAGAAATAGAGAAAAAAATTACAGCAAATTTCAGTGCAGTTCAGCAATTGGATAGTGACACTGTTTATATTTTTAATTAAAATGAGACAAAAAAATTAGTGTCTAGACACTATGCCATACACTGACTCAATAAAAGTCATGCATGATATTGAAAACGAGTATAGTCGGCTTAAAGTTAAGTAATTCAGATTTTGGAATAGATAAATAATCAATGGACTTGTGGTGTGCCAATAATGTTGAGCAAAATTATTTTATTATTTTAGTTCAGAGTACTTGTTGCTAAGAAGAGAAGAATAGGTAACGTCGGCAAAACTAGACGACCAGTTTTTAAGTTTTGATTTCAGTTATGACTATGAAAAATATATCTGTGATAGTGTTCAAGATGTGATAGTTTATTATAGTCATATAACCATATATGATCATTAAATATGTTGATTAGATCTAATGTACAATTTCTTCAATATAACAACACTGTGTGAATATTTCTATTTGTAATAGTCCTCCTGATATGACTTTGTACAAATGTACATACGAACAGATGTATTGGGGGATAATAAGGCTACACTCACCTTGAAGACAGGTGGGTCCTGTCCAGCAGCTGGAACACTGACAAGTGAAATCAGTACAGGAACCTGTGGTACTTGTTTGACAAAAGCCTCCATTTTGACATGGATTAGGAAAGCATGGATTGATCACTGTATGGAGAGGTATCAAACAAAAATATGAATAAAAGTATCAAAAGAGAAAATTACAAAAATCATTTTTACAATCATGATAAAGCTTAATAGAGAATGATTAGTCAATATCATATCACAGAAATAAACAAAGATAAGCTGATTACTAAAACTGATACAAGTTTAGTTTTTTCAATATAACTACCGTAAGCAAGTAACTACAAAGCACCCTCTATTGACTAACTCTGACTAATACTAATAGTAATGTGGGTTATTTTTTATGTATTTTTCAAAAAATAATCTTTTCCACAAATATTTAAAAAAGATGGAAATGTATCTAAAAAACAAGGTCATGTATATTTCAGTCTCATTGAAAACTCAAAATCTAATGGAATTGAATGGTTATAAAGAAACCATATTATTTGGTCTGAGTGAAGATAATTCCATACAAACAGACCTATGATAGGGTAGACGTGTTTATCTTTTACTTACGTTGGAAGCAGTTAGCTCCAGTATAACAAGCAGGACAGGAACAAGTATACTGTGCACATGACACTGATTGACTGCATACGCCACCATTCAAGCATGGATTTGGGGAGCATGGGTTGATAGCTGAAATAAAGCCAAATGATTACTAACATTGTACAAAGTTGAGATTTTCAAAACATCGCTGGATGTAGTATACTGTAAACTTCGTCAATTTTACAAGTGCCAAATTTCCGGGAATTTTGCGAGTCAGAGAAAATCATGAAAAATGCATAGCAGTAATAATTTGCCTGGTGTCCTACAACATATAGTATGAGAAAACAACTTTCACAAAACTTTGTCTTCACAGTTGCTGTACAATCATGAAAATTGTCATGTTTTGTAGTAACTTGGGGTGTCTTGTGTGAGTGTTTTAGAATAGTATTTAAGGAGTCTTTTTTTCAGAGGTTTTGTACATTGTAAAACTAGGCCCCACAGATCTTGAATTTATATATCAGCATTTCTTTTGTATTCAAAAAAGAAACACATACATTTACAGTAACAAAATATTCTTATACTTACGCGTTTCACAATTCTGTCCTGTATAACACTGCGGACATGAACATGTATACTGAGAACAAGACCCTGCGACACCCTGACAGAACCCTCCGTTCAGACACGGCGAAGTGGCACAAGGATCAATAGCTAAAACAAAAAAACAAAAACGATTTTAGTAATCAAACCAAAAACTTAAAATAGACTAAAATATTCACAGAACCTAATGACTAAATTTTTAAATACAGTAAATATGGTTACCTATCTGGCACATATCACCAGTCCAGCATCCGGTACAAGTACAGGTGTATAGTTCACATGAGCCGGAGACTGGTAGACAGAAACCGCCATTCAAACAGGGATTAACAGCACATGCATTGATTTCTGAAAAGATAAAAAAAAATATTATTGTGAGAAAAAATTCACTTTATATATTTATTTTTTATTTATTTATTTTTGTTTACTTAGTTATTGATGATTCATCTATTTAGTGTGAAAAGTATAAAAGCTTGTGTGCAGTGAAGCATGATGGGATTGATTCTCATCGATATTACTTGCAGCTATCATAATTAAGAGCCGCACTCATTGACGAGCACAACGTTATTCGGAATGAATACTCACGTTGAAGACAGTTAGTTCCAGTATAACAGGCTGGACAAGAGCATGTGTATTGCTCACAAGACCCTGATACCTGTAAACACTGTCCATTGTTGAAGCAGGGATTCGGAGAACATGGATTCAACACTGAAAAAAAATAAAAATTGTCAATGAGGGTTGTGAAAATTGAAGTGAAAATTCTCTTTAGACAGTAATGTAAAGCTATAATGGGGTATTTTATACATACAACAACAATTGTATAAAATTAAAAAGATCATGAAAAGTTCAAAAATAGTATCATCAGATACACCTGGTATTGGCAGTGTTAGAAAATTTTATTCATTTTAATTTTTTCACCATTTCAAACCAGGTTTTCACATTTTCAAAATTTCATACACAAATCTAAAGCATGATAATTCTGGTATTATATTTAATAAATTAAACAGTTTTTAGTATAAGCATGACATTCCTTGCAATAAATTGCTTTAAAAATTCAAAATGGAGAGGATTACATTTGTGGAAACATATTTAATCAAGTACCATGATTTCTAATTATGGTGTAAAACTTGAAAAAGTATTCAAATGAAGTTTTCGCTCTATAATACAGTTATTGTTAATAATCTCACTATTACACGAAGACATACTTACATATTTCACAATTCCTGCCATCATAACAACCATTACAGTTACACGTATAATCATTGCAGGCACCAGGAATAGACTGACATTGACCACCATTCAGACAGGGATTCACAGCACATGCATTGATCGCTACAATGAAAACAAACAACGTTAACAACGATGACAACAACAACCATTACCTTGCAACCTACATTATTATTATTCCTGCAAAGATAAGTTGTGGTAGCGGTAAAAGATCCACATCATCATTTAAAGGGAACCACAATCCAAACAACATAATGACCCCTAAAGAAAAAGCTCCACAAATGTAGGAGAATGCAATTTACAGTTTTGTTGTATCACTTTTCATTCTCTAGATATTTCACTTTTCATTACGTAGTCAGCCATCTTGATTTTCAAGCAAAGGATTATGGGTAAAGTATGACATCATAGAATCTGTTGTCAGAAATTGAGAAAATGATTTCATCTATAACTTCAAAAGTTGAACTTTAAATTGGCTGAAAGTTTAAAAATTGGTAACATACATGTACTAGTGCCATCCATGCTTATAAAATAGTTGTCATGGAAAC